CAGATCACTTGGAACTCCTGAACAGTGTTTCGTTGCATGGAAATACTTTATTCATTTTGTGGGTAGCCTTTTGGGTTGTTTTCAGCTTTACTTCCAGGTATGAATGCTGCACCCATGAACACTGTTGGGGACAGACACCCAGAAACGTCTCTGTGGGGCGGGATTGCGTGTTGCAGGGCTGTAGGCCTTGATATGTCTTATGTAACAGGTCATCTTCCACCATGGGTGTACCAACCCCCACTGTAATTTCAAGAGAATCTTTATTGTTCCATTCTCACCAATTATTATTGTCTGGCTTGTAAATTTTTCTTTGTATCACCCTATTGTCATCTAAAACTTTCAAAGTTCTACCTTTCTCATTTAAATTCTCAACTGTCCATCTTAACCTGGGTTTTGTATATGAAATGATACACCTGCTTTTACATTCCAAAAATGTTTTGTCACATTTCTCATGGTTAAAAAAATTTAACCAAGAGAGAATAATGTTTTTTTCTAACCCTGTGCCCCTATCTATTTTGAGGAGAATCTATGGGTTTATCAAAGACTACGATCACATACAGAGCTCCACAGAAGCTCTCCCTTTCTGTTACGGTTTAGATCTATATTTCCCCAGAGTCTCATGTGTTGGAAGAAGGCTGGATCTTGAGAGTACTGTACTCACTAGTGCAAGTGTCCACTGATGAGTTCCTAGCTGTTGGGTGGGCCCTGCCTGGAAGAGGTGTGCCCAGGGGGTGTGGCCTGGGAGGGTGCTGCTCCTCTCTCTGCTTCCTGATCTCAGATCTCCGAGGCCTAAGAAGCAGCTCTTCTCCACCCAGGACTCTCTGCCAGCTGCTTCTGTGTTTGAGCCTCCTGAGCCACCCTAAAACTTCTCAACCGGAGTCAAAATAAACGTCTCCTCCTTTATGCCATGGCTATTAGGTGTTTTGTTCTAGCAATGAGAAAAGTGACTAAGGAACACTATCTAAAGAATAAGAAAATGCTGAGTTTTCACTGGACATAAAATTAGGGGGTCATAGTGGGCCTCACAAATTGGCAAAGACTGTTTTACTATGGTTAACCAACAAGAATGAGTGCTGTGAAATGAGCTCTCTCTCTCATATGCACATGCACACACACACACTAACTTTTGGTGATGAACTCAAACTTTCTGCAAAGGTAATTTAAGGTTGACTGCCCTAAAAGTTTTTAGGTTGTTCACAATCTTTCACTGAAATTGAACTGTAGAGAATATCACATGGAAATAATTTTAAAGTTAAAAAAATCTTTACAACATGCATTACAGTTTTACACACAGTGTGTCTAACGGAGCTGCAAAATCCCTTGCCACCTGCTGACACTGGACCTGCCGTGATACTGCAGCATATAAGTTCACAGGGATGCTTTCGTGTCAACAAATCTACAGTGCTATCCACTTAAAAGATCACATATAATTAGGTCTAGTAGATGATACATGGCAACAATGAATGGCTAGTACTGCTTATTTACTGTACTATACTTTTTGTTAGATGTACTCCTTTTACTTATATAAAGAAGTATTCCTGTAAAACAATGCGCTTTCTCCAGCATCCTTCTCCTCCATTATGTTTCATTACATAATATGAAAGTCAGTGGTGACTCACTGAGGGCTGATATGAAGACAGCTGAAGAATTTTCAGAAAGTCTAGGTAAGTGGATGGTGGAGGAAACTTGCAGCCAGAGCTGAGCTTTCATGTGGATGAGTACTTCTGTAGGAGAAAGGGATTCCTGAAAGGGCTTTCATCTACCAGGAGGCTGAGTCAGATACAGGTTTCAGGACTTTCAATGACAGGATGACGGCCTTGCTGGAGCAATGCTGCAGGCTGTGCTTTGAAGCCTTTTGTAATCCAGCATTGTGAGGACCCCAGAGCTATCGTGTCTGTCAACAAGCACACACTGCTAGGGTCCTATAGGAGCAGCAAGGAGTCAGGGGCCACCATACTTTTCTCTAAGATGCCCTGCTGAACTGCTTAGCCAGCAAAGCAGAGAATTGCTGCATGGAGAATAAAATACCTTTCCAGATCTTGTTGATAATGATCTTCAATATTAAACTGTCTTTTTGACCCAGCTGATGGATTATAGTACTATAGAAGCTTCTGAGGTCTGCCGCCAGAGGAGGATTCCTGCTCAAGCCAGTGCTGCAACCAGCAAGGACAATAAGAAGACACAGATGCAGTCTGGAAGAATTAGTGTGTAGGACTGCATCCAAGATCTTGCTTGGGTCTGAGGTGATCTCACTTAGGAGCATAAAAATGGCATCTGGAAGAACACACTCCAGAGGTTCACAGATGACTTTAAGGGATTTGCCGAGGAGGAGGAGGCTGCAGAAATCAACAAGGCTGTGGCTGTGACTGACACATCTTAACCTGGCTGGGGATAAGGCCACCACAGAGGAGTTCCTGGAACGAGTCCTGAAGAGCTAATGAGTTGTTGTTGGACTGGACCAGGAATGCATGGCTGAACAAAAGGAACAAGAAAAGTAAACCGAAGAAGAAAAAGAACCCCCAATAAAATTCACAGTGAAGGGTTTAGCAGAAGCTACTGCAGATCTCAACAAGTTGCTTAAAAAGTGTGAAAACACAGACTCCAACACCCAAAGGCGTTCATCAGTGAAGAATATTCATGCTGCAGGATCTGCTTCCAAGAAAATCTGATGCAAAGGGAGAAATGCAGAAAACCCCAAGGATCTGCTTCCAGAGAGTGAGGTATCTGCTAGAGGAGCCTCAGGCAGTCCGTTTGAAGGATCTGAGAAGACACTATCTTCCTAGGAGGTCACAGCTCTGGTGTTATCACCCCTGTGTGGTGTCTGTGAGTGTGTGTGGGGTATCTTAATCATTTTTTGAGGTATTTCCATTTTTCAACTATTCTATGCAATTTAGCAACTTGGCAAGACCTTGCTTCAAAATGAAAATAAAAAAGGTTGAAGATATACAAAAAGAAAGAAAACCAAATGATGTACAGTTAAAAGATTGAAAGAAAATCATGTTAACAGTCTTCTTTCAACTTTCTCATAACTTTCAATGACAAGTTCATACTGCTTGTATAACAGACAGTATAGTATAAATACATAATTTTAAACTTAGAATTAAAATTAGAAACAGTTCCTTGTTGAGGTGCTGTAAACTCCTGGCAGTGGGATGAGGGGCGGCACTGGGCTGTGTGCAGCTCACTCCTAGCCACACTTTCAGATAAGTGTACAAGTACAGGAATGCAAGAATCTAACGCAGAACATTCCCTTGCATGGGGAAATGGCCCAATCACACAACCCACACATTCACGCCCAGTCTCCATATTTCAAAAGAATAAAAATATGCAGACAACAAACTAATAATTTATATATATATATGAACTGAAGTGCAGCACTGACACCAAATAATGCTAGCTCTACTTGGAATCCTGAGATGATCTGACTGTAATCCAATATTACTGCAATGATTATTTAGTGGGTCAGGGAGGAGAAGGAAGTAATACTTGCTCGGTCTATACATGCCAAGCACTTGGACAAGGTATTTCACTGATCTGCATAATGACTTTGACAGGTACACAGCACGAGTTCTGAGAAACTGAAGCTCTTGGAGTGACTACCATGACTAAGAGCTTAGTGCAGCCCATGGCATACAGTAAATAGTGAATAAATACCATGTGAACGGATGGCAGGAGATGCAACTAATCCGAAGAGCCAGGATGCAGGCCTGCTGTATCTCGTTACACTCAAACTACTTCCAACACAGTCCTGCCTTCCAGACAGATGGTGCAGAACTCTCTTAAACTGGTAACAGAGATCACTGCCAATGTTAATCTGGGTAAAATGTCCAGCGGCCTATGATTTTCCCTTTTGTATCAGAGGTTGATTTCAAAATGTGTGCTTGTGAAAGTTGAAAAAGAAAACATAAAGGACCTTTCAGAGCAACTACATAATACAGAAAAATAATAAATATCCTTACGACACCATTATATGTATATGGAACAGTTTATTAGATATACAGCTCATTCCTTTTTTGTTGTTGAATTCTGCCAACTTCTTAAAATATTCTGTATGAGAACATCACGCAAAAATGTTTCTCTAATTTTATGAATGTTAGGTGTTGTTTTTCTCTGCTTCACACTTACAGCAAAACAAAGTATTTGAAAATGCTAAAATAAAATGTATTTCATAGCTGTTTTTTATTCTATATTAAAATATTTCACAACTATAAAGTGTTTTTTTTTTTTTTTGGTGGTTCTGGGGATCAAACTCATGACCTCATGCTTGCCAGGCAGGCACTTAGGCCATTGAGCTAAATCCCCAGCCTCCTACAACTATGAAGTCTGAAAAAAAACTTTACTGGGTTTTTGAGGTATATGATTGCCTGTCTACTGTAAGTGGAATTAAAGCATTTTGTTATCCTTAGTATAGAAAGTGAAGAATATAAAGGAAGTATATGTATAAAAGCTTGAAGATGACTAACTCAGATTAGATGCACATTAAAAAACTACAGATTCAGCAAATTTTGTATTTACTAAGCAGAGTAAAAGAGTAAGTGCAACTCGTATTTGGCTACTACATCTTTACGACAACTACTCACCATTTTTCAAAGCATTATTGTTGGGTAGGTTTTATTAGGCGAAAGTGTTTATAAATCATGACCTCATCTAAAATGAAACATAAAGACTTATAGATGTGTATTACAAAAGATGGTGGCTCTGTCCAAAAGGTCATTAAGACCAACCGGCCATTAAGAGGGAAAGACAGTTGCTTCATTCAAAATTTAACATCTGGTAATTTCATTTGAAAAATCTAAGTGGAAGTTCCTTTCTTATTATGTTTAAGCACCAAATCTGGTTGTATGCTGTAACAATTTTCATTGTACCTGCATGTTAAGAGAAAACCCCCTAGATTCTAGAGGTTAGTATCTGTTGAACTTAGGCTGAGAACTAATCAGGAGAAAATACTTAACTGGTTGGGTAAGTAAATTTCTAGAGACTCAAAACATTATAAAACAAGCTGTTTTAAAAAATACTTTAATTCAAAGTGATTTTCAAGAACTTATTAGAAATTATAAAAGATCTTTCCTGAGCACTAGTAAAACAACCCATGTGATTAGCTTAATAAGACTGACATTCAATGGAGAACAATTAATTTGTTGGTTGTGATCAGAAAAACTAAGCATACTTAGTGTTTCATTATTTTAAACATCTCCTATTAAAGCTTGTGATTATAATGAATGTTGTATGTATACTTGATGCTTTCTTTGCACCACCTTCTTTGAATCACAAGACTTTGATATAGTCTACTTCCCGATTAACCTTCAAAACTCTATACATGGCATTATAAAACATGGTGGTGAAGTATGGCCTTTCGTCCTGGAGCAGGCTGCTGCACAGGGAGGGGCTGGCTGCATTAGAAGGATCTTCCAAGTCCCAGATTTCCAGCATACTGCAACCTGGCCTGAGAAGAAATGATGTAAAAATATCCATATGAAAAATCCATGAGCAAAGAGAATGCAACAAATCATCAAGATTATATATCATGATCAAGTAAGGTTTATCCCAGGGATGAAGGGATGGTTCAACACACACAAATCAAGAAATATAATACTCTATATTAACAGAGCCAAAGGCAAAAATCACGCGATCATCTCAACGGACACAGAAAAAGCAACTGACAAAGTCCAACACCCATTCATGACAAAAAGCCTTCAGAAAACTGAATAGATGACCTTTATTTCAATCTCATAAAAAGTCATATATGACAAACAAACCATTATACTAAATGGACAAAGACTAAAAGCTTTTACTCTAAGGAACAAGACAAGGCTATTCATTATCACCACTCTTATTCAAAATAGTTCTGAAAACATTAGAGACAGTAGTTAGACAACAAAAAGAAATAAGAACAGAAAAGGAAGAAGGTATTGTTATTTGTGGATGATATGATACTCTATGTAGAAAAATTCAGAAACTCCACCAAAAGACTCGTAATTTTATAACCAAATTTAGTAGTGTAGCAAGATACACTCAAAAAATCAATAGCACTCCTGTACACAAAAACCAAATTCACTGAGAGTTTGGTATAAATTAGGGAAGCTACACCCTTCACAATAGCATCCAAAAAGTGAAATACTTAGGAATAAATATAACAAAGGAAGTAAAAGATATATACACTGAAAATTACACTACTGTATTAAAAGGAGATTGAAGAGTATATCAGAAAATGGAAGATAACCCTTGCTTATAGATAGGAAGAACCAATGAAAATGGCCATATTCCCAAAATTGTTATACAGATTTAATGCAATCCAATTAAAATCCTATTAGTATGCCTAACAGAACTACAGAAATATTCTTAAAACTTCATTTGGAAATAGAAGAAACCTAGAATAGCAAAAGCAATTCTGTGCAACAAAAGCAAGGCAGGGGGCATCACAATCTCTAATTTTAAATTTACTACAAAGCTACTGTGATACAATCAGTATGATACTAGGAAAAAAAAGAGACCTGAGGATCAGTGAAACAGATTAAAAGATGCAGAAACAACTGTAAACACACTCAGCCACCTTATCTTTGACAAGGGGGCCAAATATCTTCACTGGAAGAAAGATAGCCTCTTTAACAAATGGTCCTGGAAAAACTGGCTTTCTGCACATGTCCAAGACTAAAACTAGAGCCATGTCTACCACCATGCACTAAAGTCTAAATGGATCAAAGATTTAAATATTGAAACAGAAACACTAAATCTACTGGAAGAGAAGGTAGGTGGAAATCTTGAAGACATAGGTGGAGGCAGAGACTTTGTGCTCAAAACCCAGATCACACAGGAAATACTACAAAGAATCAACTGGTATCTCATCTTATTAAAAAGCTTTTTAACAACCAAAGAAATCAGCAACAAAGTGAAAAGATAACCCACAGAGTGCCAGAAACTTTTAGCCAGTTGTCCATCAGACAAATGATATTTAGAACACATACAGAACTGAAAAAAATCACATTCCCTCAACTCAAAGACTCAATTAAAAAATGGGCATCTGAGATGAATACATACTTCTCAGATGAAATACAAATGGCAAATAAATATATAAAAAAGTGGTCATTTGAGGGATGCAAATTAAAACAACACTGAGATTCCATCTCACTCCAAAAAGAATGGCTATCATCAAGAAATCAACAACAAATGCTGGAGGGGGTGTGGGGAAAAAGGAACCCTTCCCCAGTGTTGATGGGAGTGTAGACTGGTGTAACACTGTGGAAATAAGTATGAAGATTCTTCAAAAAACTAGGATTAACAAACAAACAAACAAACAAACTAGGATTAGAAGTCCCATTTAACCAACTATTCCCCTTCCAGGTATATTCCTGGAAGAATTAAAAGCATTCTATCAAGTGATACATGTGCATCCATGTTTAGAGCAGCCCAATTTGTAATAGCTAAATCTAGGAAACAACCCAAATGCTCATCAACTGAGGAATGGATTAAAAAATGTTTTTATATAATGGAGTGCTACTCAGCCATAAAGCAGCATAAACTTAAAATCATACTCAGAAGTGAAAGAAATCAGACTTGCATTAATAAATATAATATTGTCTCCCTGGTATGAGAAACTGAAAGAGTAAATGAGTTCCAAAATGTACAACAGATATTGTGAAATGGGAAGAGATTGTTCAAAAGAAAGAGGAACTAGGGAATGGGAGAAGGAAGGAAGGGAAAAGGAAAAAGATACAAGTTAGTTATACTACTAGTACTCTTAAGTCACTGAAAAGAAAGGTTTGGGCTAACATCATTTGGAGAATTTTTAATGCCCATATCTTATACTCTAAGTAAGTACTTTGAAGATAACAATATGTGATGTATTAATTATTGTTATTTTCCTATTATTGTTTTGAAATTGCTTTTCATAAAATGAAAAAAGAAAAATGCCCTCATATTTGGAATAACTGCATAAACCAGAAAGTATCTCTGAGACTTTCAGACTAACTTATTCAACAAATTGAAGATTTTAAAGTATCATCTCAAAAAAATATAGGTTCAACATTTAGATATTTAGGTTGCTTCCAACTTTCTTCTATTGCAGAAATGAGCTGTTGCAAAGATTTGTGTACAGTTGTTAGTATGGATGCATGATTTATTTTTGTTGTCCTTATGCACTTTTTCTGAGCTCTTTCATTTGTTTATCCTGACTCCAGAAGCACCACCGTCTTGACTACTGAAGCTGTATAATAAGTTTTCATATCAGATAATGTAAGCCATACAAGCTTGTTTGTATATTTCAAAGTTGATATGGCTATTGCAAATCCTTTGTACTTTGTACATGAGTTGGAGAACTGGCTTTTCAAGTTTTATACCTGCTTGGATTATTTACTGCAATTGAATTGAATCTGTAGATCAATTTGTAGAAACTGGCAACCTAATAAAATTCACTATTTTAGCCCATGACCATGATACATCTCATTTATTTAGTTTTTTTTTTTCAGTGGTGCTTTGTCATTAAAGTCTCTAAACATTTAGGGAAATTTCCGCATATATTTTCGTTATTTATTTCTACTTTACTTTCATCATCAACACAGGATATACTCTGTATGGTGTGAATCGTTTAAAAGGTATTGAGACCTTTACGCCTAGATGTGGTGTTTCTTTGTAAATAGTCTATTTATACTTGAAAAGAATACCTACAGTATGTTCTTGAGTGTTGTGCTCTATAGATATCAATGAATTCGTATTTGTTGACAGTATCATTCAAGTCCTCTGCAAACTTGTTACATTTCTTGTTAAATTTTATTCTGCATATTCCTGAGAGGGTTGCTAAAATTTCTGACTGTATCATGAGTTTGTCTATTTTTCCTTTACAAGTCTATCAGCTTTTGCTTGATTTAAAAACTATGTTATCTGGTGCATCAGTGTTTAGAGTTGCCACGTTCTTGATGAAAACAGATCCGTCTTCTCTGTAAAATGATTGTTCTGAACCTGGATAATATTCTTTGCACCCACATGTACTTTATCTTGTAGTATTACAGACAGCCCAGCTCTCTCTTGACTAGCAGTAGCAACCTGTGTCCTTTTTCCATTTGTTAACTTTTAACCTATTCATTTATTTTAAGCACATTTCTTGAAGGTAGTATATTGCATTGTTTTATTTTATTATGCAGTATATCATTTCCTAATTTTTATTAGTGACATTTTGTCTTGTATTAGTTTCCTATTGCTGTGACAAATCACCACAAAGTTCACAACTTAAAGCAAAATGTATTTATTCTCTTTCATTTCTGCAAGGAAGAAGTCCAAAACCAAGACGCTGGCAGGGCTCCGGCCATTCTGCAGGCTCCAGGGGAATCTGTTTCCTTGCCTTTTCCACATTCTGCTTTCATAGTCACATCACCTTCATCTCTGACTCTATTATTGTCTCTGTTATAAGGACCCTGTACTTATTATTCCTAACTGGATAACTGAGGCAATCTTCACATCTCAAGAGCACTCATTCAGTTGCAGGTTCTAGGTGTTCAGACATGAACATCTCGGAGGGGCCATGTTTTAGCACAAAAGACCATTTTCATGTAATGTGGTTATTGATGTTATTAGGTATAGGTATACTTGTCTCATTTGATCTTTATTCAGCCTTTCCATCTTTTCTGCCTTTTGGATTAAGCATATTTTATGATTCCATGTTAATCTTTATTGTTGCTTTACTAGATACAATTTATTATTTTGTCATTTCACTGATCGCTTAGGGTTTATAGCATATATAGATATATATAATTTTTCTACCTATCACAGTTTCAATTTACAATGGGCTTCAGAAATGCAACCTCATTTTAGGTTGAGGAGCATCTGCATTGTTCATATACTGCGTTTTGTCTTTTTACATTCCATCACATCTATAAAATACTCTATTTAACACTTTACTATAAAATAGGTTTATGTTAGAGGATTTAACCAACTGTGGGCTAATGTAATGCACTGAACATGGTTAACGTAGTCTAGGCTAACCTATCATGGATGGTAGTTCAGGTGTATCAAATGCAATTTTGGCTCACATTAACCAACTGTCTTACATTAACCAATTGGCTCACATTAACCAATCGTAAGATTGGTTAACCAGGATGTTACTCTAGGTTAAGAAGCATCTGTATGTATTTAATAAAAACCTCACAGTCATATACTTCTGTCTCCCCCAGAGACATGCTATTGTTGTAGTTCACTTTAATTAAGTATGTTGTAAAGTCCACAGTACACTCTTATTTTTCCTTTAATGAGATGACTCTCTATTCCAAGATCTACACAGGGAAAACCCCTTCAAATGCTGGTGCATGTGGTTCCATTTGCAGCACTATTCACGTCTTCGTATTTATCTATGTTTCTGTGTCACTTTCCTTCCTTGTGAAAGATTCTAGTTGGTATCTCTTTATAGTACAGGTCTGATAGTGATACATTCTTTCAGCACTAATATGTGCAATTAATGTTCACGTATTCACCATTTGAAGTTCATACACATACACACAGAGAGAAATTGCCATCTGGTATCATTTCTTACTAAGGTACAGGACAATGATGGTGAACTTTTTAGCGCCTTCAATGATAACAGTTGGCTGTGGCACTCGTGCCATAGGCTCACCACCCTTGCTATAGGACTTCCAGTCTATTTACAGTCTAGATCTGTTGGGGAGAAACTACATTTGATTGATCTGAAAGTCTTTACTGACCTTCATTTTAAAAAGATAGTTTTGCTAAATACAAAATTCTTTTTTTTTTTTTGGTATTAGGGATCAAACTCACAACTGTGTGCTTGCAAGGCAGGTACTTATGCCGCTGAGCTAAATCCCCAGCCCCTTAATGCAAAATTCTTGATTTGTTTTTAGTACTCTGAATTATTATTCCAATGTCTGTTGACTTCTATTAATGATGACGAATCAGATGTTTAACATACTACTTTTCCCTTCTTGTTATTTTAAAGATTCTTCTCTTTGTTTTCACTAGTCTGACTGCCATGCACCTTAATCTAGATTCTTTGAGTTTATCCTAGTTGGAATTTTTGAGCTTATGGATAAGCTAAGTTAACGGTTTTTACCAGTCTTAAAAAGTTTTTGATCATTTTTTCACGTATCTTTTTTCTGCCACTTTTTCTTTTTATTCCTTCTGGTATTAAGACTTTCCATGAGTTGAACAGTAAATAATCTTACACAGGTCTGTGCTATTTTTTTCAGTAGTTTTAATCCTTCATTATTTGGATTGATTTCTTCTTGATTTCTCTTGAAATTCATTTTTTTGCTCTTGTTTAAATCTGTTGCTGAATACATTTAAATATTTTTCATTTCAATTATTTCAGCTCTAGAATTCCCATGAGAGGAGGATGCTTTTATTTTTCTGTTGGGATTTCCTATCTCTTCACTCACTATTACCATGTTTTCCTTAATTCTTTGGGGACATTTTTCTTAATTCTTTGAATATATTCATCACAATCTTTGGTTACTAACTCCAACATCTGGGATTACTTGAAGCAGTTTATATTCACTTTTAATTTTGAAAGTATGGATATGTCTGGAAGTTTTGAATGAAAGCTTTTCAGTTTTTTGTTTATATGTCTGGTAGCTGAGATTGAAAGCTGGTCACTGTAACCAATACACTGTAGCAACTGGAATCTCTTTGATTCTGAAGGTCAGTTTGTCTTGTTCTAGGAGAAAACAGCCTCGCCTGGGACTGTCACATGAGCAGCAACCGACATCTCTGTTAAGGAGTCTAAACAAATGTCTCAAACAATCCATTAACCATCTTCATTTTAAAAAGATTTTTAGAAGTGTAAAGTTAAAAAATTTTATATTTTAACTAGTGACATTTTTCTTAGTCATTCTGCATTATGTTAATTGTTATAATACTCAGTATAGTAGGAGGTTAATATTTTATTGTAAATTCAACTACATTTCAGCAACTGTCAAAAAATTTGAAAAATTATGAAAAAATAATTAAAAAAATATTTTAAATAGAAATTCAAGACACTAAAAATATTTTAAAAACAATATTCTACTTAAATGATGGCATAATCCTACTTCTCTAGGTGAACTGATTTTAAATAAAATACCAGGGTAATATTATAATAAAATTTATTTAAGATAGAAAGTCTTGATGAATCAAAGAATCAGGACTACTTTTATAAAGTGAAAGACTTGTTACTTTAAAATATGGCAAATCACATAGCACAGTGTGAATACTCACTTGGTTTTCACAAAACACCACGCTTCTTCTAAAATATAATAGTTCACATGTAATTCCAGCAACTTGTCTCTCACTTCTTTTGCAGATTTTCGACTATATACAGAATAGACTATTTTTGTTCGGGCCCTTTAAAATGAAACAGCAATAAATATAAGAATTTTAAATAAATAAACGATAATGGACTAAAAAGAACTTGCCAGAAACTTGAAATTATAACTCTCACTGGATGGAGTACTGATACATATGAAAATAATATAGATAACTTTTTAAAAAACACCTCTTATTTTAAAGAGAATGAAACAAAAGAGAACAAAGCAAATCAGAACAGAACAATGCAAGGAACACAGCACTTCACAATAAGACAACCGTACATCAATAGTAGCTACCATAATGTCTTTTTTCTTCAAAATAGTTGAGCATAGCTTCACATACAATAATATCAAACATAACAAAATAGTATAAAACCATTCAAAAGTATGAAGGCATTATAGGACTTCAAAACCAAATAACAGGAAATGAACAATGGCTGCTATAATATCTCATTTTCCTCAAAAAATTGTCTATACCCTCACACATAATAGAATCAAATAAACTACAACAGGATAGAACCAATCAAAACAGAAGAACAAATGCATGATAGGACTTCAAATCATGATAGTAAATCAGCAATGGTTACCATAATGTCTTGTTTTCTTCAAAATAGCTATTCATACATAAAATCAAACAAAACAAAATAAAACCAATTAAACAAATGAATGAAAGCATTATAAGACTTCAAAGCAATAGGAAACCATGATTACCATAATATATCCCATTATATTCAAAATGGCTGCCCTACCATCTGACAGCATAAAATCTAATGAAACAAGATAGAACAAAGCCAAACCTAACAAAATTGTGAAAACAATGCAAGAGTTTAAGACAAGACAGTAAGAAATTAACACGAGTTTCCACCTTTTCCTCCCAGGTGTTCCCTCCCCTTTGCTCTTAGATTAACTTTTTGCCTTTGGATCCCATTAACCCTTTCTGTTTCTTATGCTAGGGTTCATGTGTATGAGTTCAAACTGTTTTGCCCATAAACATGATCTCCAGTTGTGTCCATTTACCTACAGGAGACTTTAGATTATTCTATTTTATAGCTGGGTAGCTTTCCCCTGCATGAAAATACCGTATCTTTCTTATCCATTCCGCAGTTGATGGACAAGTTATTATTTTTTTTCTGATCTCCTGTCACATGGAGCAATTGTTTTATCTCCTTTGATTTTCAGTCTATAAATTTCCTTTCCAGTTAAATGTGTTTCTCATATACAGTATATCAATGAATTTTTGTTTCTTGATCCACTCTCCCTGTGTTTCTTTTTATTGCTGACCTGAGGCTATCTACATTAATGGTTACAATCACCATACATTGGTTTGTCTCTGCTCGGCTATTCTCCTGTTATTGGTCCTCCATTTTTCCCCTTCATTCAGTTGCCTGTCTTGTTGGATGATCCTCTTCTGCTGCTGTTCCTGGAATCATGGTCATCTTTATCTCTCTATAGAATATCCTTTAGCACTCTCTGTAGGGTTGGTTTGTTGGTCATGAAGTTCTTCAGTTGTTCTTTATTATGGAAGTATCTTATTTTCCCATCAATTTTGAAAGATAGTTTTGCAGGGTAGATCAATCTGGGTTGGAAGTTTTTTTCTTTCAGGGTTTGAAACACTTCACTTCAAACTCTTCTTGACTTGATGGTTTGTGTTGATGAGTCTGCTGTGATTCTGGTTGGTTTTCTCTTATAGGTGATGTATCTCTTTAATAGCTTTTACTATTCTGTTCTTGTGCTAAATTTCTGGGATCTCAATTATTATATGCCTAAGTGTAGATTTTCTTGGTTATGACTAGTTGGAGTCCTACATACTTCACTTATCTGTATGCCAAATCCTTCCCCCATGTTCGGGAAGTTTTTTTTTTATTACTTCTGTGAATATTCTTTTCATCCATTTATGTTGACACCTGCTTCTTCACTGACACCTATCACTCTTAAATTACGCTTCTTTGTGTCATTTTGCAGTCATTGAGTTGTTATTTCCTGATTCTGTGTTATTTTTAAGAGATCTTTCTTTTCACAATCACTAGCTGCAATCCTATCTTCAAGATCTGAAAGTCTATCTTCAGTTTTTTTCAAGCAGTTTTGCCAGATTTTGATTGAAATTTTAATTTTCTGCATCTCTCTTTGAATCTGTTTCATGCATTGTAATTCTCTTTCTATGTTCATTCAAGGTTTCCATCATTTTCCTGTTCTTCTTTTTTGTCTGTCTGTAGACCTGCTGAACAGTTCTTTCAGTATGTTTGTGATTTCTTCTTTTACCTGAGACATTATTTCTGATTTGACTGCTTTTACAGTCTTATAAAGTTGTCTCCTTACTTTAATCTCCTCTCAGAGATTTCAGGTGTGTAACTTCCATGACTGTATCTCCCAGACATATTCTGTGTGGGCTAGAAGTCTGAGTTTGCCTTTTACTCCTTCATCTTGACATTGTCCTCCCAACAAGCTGGTTGTGGGGCCCCAGACACCTTCCAAATTGGCTGCCCCTAAGCAGTGTTGGGGGATGGGAAAGGCACCTGGGTTCCTCTAACTCCAGATTTATAGGGAGGTAGCAGGGCGTGGAGCAGGCTTCTCCAGAGCTGTGCAGCTACACTGGGGCTTCCCTGATGATCAGGGGTGCATGGAGGTGGGGCTGCTTCTCTCAGCCTGTGTGTCTACAGTGGGACTCCTGGGATGGAGGCAGGCACACAGGGGTGTGATTGTCTGATTCTGCTAGTGGGTGATGGCTGCCCAAGGGAACCAAGGACCTCCAGTGTTGGTCAACAGATGCACAGGGCTTACCTGGCTGCTCCTGCTGGCTGCTTGCAGGAAGGAGCCTTCTGGTGGAAGCTCCCTGAGGTAAAGGCAGATCTTCTGGTTCTTTCTGCCCACACTGGCTGCCTGCGCGACGTGGCCTTCTGCTGGCAGCACAGAGGTGAATCTGTTGGTCTCTCTTCATCTGTGCTGGGCACATAGAGGAAAGGGCCTTCCAGTGGCAATGCCAGTAGGCAAAAGTGGATCTGCTGGCTCTCTCTGCCCATGCTGGGCACGCAGAGGAAAGGGTCTTCTGGTGATGGCACCCTGCAGTCAGAGGCAGATCTGTCTGGCTCTGTCTGCCTGTGCTCAGCCAGCGGAGGGAGGCTTCTGGTGGTGGCACCCAGCAGGCAGAGGTGGATTTGCTGGCTCTCTCTTCCTGTGCTGGGTGTATGGAGGAAAGGGCCTTCTGGTGGTGGCACCCAGCAGGCACAGGTGGATCTACTGGCTCTCTCCACACAGATAACTTCTGAAACAGTTCACTCCACATTCCTGTTTAGATTTGGAATCTATTACATTTAAGAGCAGATTAAATTACACATATTCTGCTTGTTCTGTATAGCATTGTCTAGAGTCACAGCGAGCAGCTAGTAAGAGCTCTAAATATAAACTGTGCTTCACATAATCCACAAACATCAATCTGCACACGAAATATATCCCGATGGAAACTGTATGCAGGGAAAGACAGATTTCAGGTTTCGGACTGCCGGTGGGCAGAGGAGGGGCTGGGCGGATCTGAGGGGCCTGCATCGGCCTCGCCGTGTGTCTGGAGGACTGTGGATAACTCAGCAAGCAGGGAGGGATCGCAGGTTCCTGAGGCACCGAGGCCTGTGGTGAGTGCTCAGCACACTCTGCCCAAATCTCAGACTGTTCCGGACTCTCCAGGCTTCCGGGTGCAGTGAAGTGGAGAAATGGGTTTGAGGCCTCTACATTCCCCTCCCCATCCTGGTTGCACTTGGAGAACTGCTGAGCTTCCGACAGGTGGGCGGGCCCACACTATCCCCGGAGCCCAGCCTGTTTCGGACTGCCGCACCTATCCATCAGTGTGCAGAGGAGGGGCTGGGCGGATCTGGGGTGCCTGCATCGGCCTCCCTGTGTGTCTGGAGGACTGTGGATATCTCGGCCCAGACTGTTTGGGTCCCTCCAGGCTTCCAGGTGCAGTGAAGTGGAGAGGTGGGTTTGAGGGCTCTACATCCACCTCCCCATCCCGGTTGCACTTGGAGAACTGCTGAGCTTCCGACAGGTGGGCGGGCCCACACTATCCCAGGAGCCCAGCCTGTTTCGGACTGCTGCGCCTAGCCATCAGTGTGCAGAGGAGGGGCTGGGCGGATGTGAGGTGCCTGCATCGGCCTCCCTGTGTGTCTGGAGGACTGTGGATATCTCGGCCCGGACTGTTTGGGTCCCTCCAGGCTTCCAGGTGCAGTGAAGTGGAGAGTTGAGTTTGAGGCATCTACATCTGCTTCCACATCCCGGCTGCAATTGGAGAGCTGTGGAACTTCCAAGGGGCAGGTGGGCGCACAGTGTCCCTGAGGCCCAGCTTGTCTGGAACTGCGGAGTTCTGAGCAGGCAGAGGAGGGCCATTGGTTCTGCAGGCCCAAAGGCTTGGGGTAGCGTGGTGCCAGAGTCTCAGTAGCTGCAAACATAGAAGGGGATTTTCAATAGATCCTGAGGAAGCTTTCAAATAACACTTGAAACACAGAAATATAGGAAAATGACAAAATGAAAGACCAAATTACAACCTCACACCTCCAGCCCATCTCAAGAAACCCTAGGAGCAATGTATATAGAAGAAAATATATGCCATTCACCTCAAATATCGGACACAATAGCTACTGAAATTGACAACCAACTCCAGGAAGCTTTAAAGAAATTCAAACTTGAAATAATCTCCCAGATAAAAGAAGAAATGATAAAAGAAATGAAAGAGATTCTGAATATATCTAAAGAAAACACAGATAAAAAATTAGAGGAACTAAACAAAAAGATAGAATCCCTAGACGAGCAATATAAGAAACAAACAATACATAATGCAGATGCACAGAGATATACAGGAAATAAAAAACTCCACTGAAAGTTGTAAAAACCGCCTTAATGAAAGTGAAGATAGAATTTCAGACCTTGAAGACAGGATTGCAGCTAGTGAACAGGAAAGGAAAGATCTTTTAAAAATAACAAGGAATCAGGAAACAACAATTCAACAACTGCAAGACGATGCAAAGAAGAATAACATAAGAATGATAGGGATTA